TCTTTATGAGCAAAATGGTCAACATCTGGCAATGCTGGGTCTAGCTGAGAGGGAAGAGTCGGCACAGTGGTACAAAGACGTCACCCCATAAGCAGCTGAGCTGGACTGAACCCACTCTGGAGAGGGGTAGCTCTGTAGGCAAGCAGGGCCAGATAAAGGTTGCTAGCCTTTTTCAAGAGACTTTTCACTGTCTGAACTGCACGTTCAGCTTCTCCGTTACTTTGTGGAAACTTTGGGCTGCTGGTAACGTGTTTGAACCCATATGTGGATGCAAAATGAGAGAAATCTTGGCCAGAAAACTGTGGTCCATTGTCTGACATCAACTCCTCTGGAATTCCATGCCGGGCAAAGATTGACTTCAGATGGACAATGACATCAGTTGACTTAGTGTTCGATAGCAGTGCAATCTCGACATATCTGGAGAAATAGTCTGTCACAACTAAGTATGTTTTCCTTCCAAGTACAAACATGACAGTCCCTAACTTTTGCCATGGTCTTTCAGGGCACTCAGATGTCATGAGTGGCTCTTTAGGATTCTGACGCTCTTGAATACATGTCCTGCATTTGAGCACCATTTCACTGACCTGCTGACCGAGTCCTGGCCACCACACAGACTGACGAGCACGTTCTTTGCATTTCACCACCCCTTGGTGTCCTTCATGCAGCCTCTCCAACACCTCATTCCTCAGAGTGGATGGGATCACAAGCCTAGTGTCTTTCAGTAGTAATCCATCTTATACAGTGAGTGTAGCTCGTTCTGGCCAGTATCCTCTCAGTGCAGGTTCCTGTTTTGCATGCACTGGCCATCCATCTGCACACAATTTCATGACTCGAGAGCAAATACTATCAGCTTGCAACTGCTCTTTTATGAGTTCCATATATTTGTGGCTAACAGGCAAGGTGTCTACTACACAGTCCACATATATGTTAGTGCTTTCCATCAGCTTCAGTTCTGCTTTGGACATGTGAGAGTCCATAGGCGAACGTGACAATGTGTCTGCTGTCCAAAGTGACTTTCCGGGCACGTGCACAATGTAGTAAGAGTAACACATGAGCCTCATCCTGAATCGCTGAATTCTCAAGGGTAGAAGATCTAGTGCTTGGTCTCCAAACAAACTGACAAGTGGTTTGTGGTCAGTCTCCAGACAGAAATGCTTTCCTAGGAGGAAATCCCAAAATCTTTCACATGCCCAGGTTAGATCCAGGCCTTCTTTTTCCACCTGTGCATAGCGTTGTTCAGTTGGAGTGAGTGAACGCGACGCGTAAGCCACAGGCTTCCATTTATCTCCCCACTCTTGAAGAAGAACGGTGCCCAAGCCATATGACAATGCATCCGCTGACACTTTTGTCACTTTGTTCGGATCATACAAGGCCAGCACCGGAGGGGAAGACAAAGCATCTTTCAATGTCTTAAATGCCCTGACCTGTTCCACATCCCAAACCCAACAGTTTTTCTTAGAAAGGAGATCACGAAGTGGCTTGTCTTTTTCTGCCAACTGAGGGATGAACTTCCCCAGCTGGTTTACCAAGCCAAGAAAACTCCTCAGTTTGTTCACACGAGAGGGCTCCTTAATAGCTCTGATAGCCTCTGTTTTCCTTGGGTCAGGTCGTATCCCTGCATCAGAGATGATGTGACCCAAAAAGACCACCTTACTCCTGGAGAGTTCACACTTATCCACGTTCAGAGTGATTCCCACCTTTCCAGTTTTTTTTTAGCACTGCATGGAGTCGATTGTCATGTTCTTCTTGGTCCCTTCCCCACACTAGTAGATCATCAATATGGCAAACTATACCTTCCAGCCCCTGTGTAACTTCCGCCATCATACATTGGAAATGTTCGGGTGCTGAGGCAATGCCAAATGGAAGACGGTTAAAGTGGAACCGCCCAAAGGGTGTAATGAATGTGGTATACTTTGCTGAATCCTGAGTGAGGGGTATCTGCCAAAACCCCATATTGGCGTCAAATTTACTGAACATTTTAGCACCAGCCAGTGTTCCAAGACTCTGTTCTACTGATGGTAAAATGAATTTTTCACGACACACATACTTGTTCAAGCCAGTCAGATCCACACACAAACACACCTTTTTGCTGTCCTTCTTGGGCACCACTACCATGCCTGTGCACCAGTCCGTAGGCTCTTCCACACGAGTTATTACTCCCAAGTTTTCCATGCATTGAAGCTCATCTTTGACTTTCCCCATCAATGGTAGGGGAATCCTCCTTGGGGTTTTCAAAGAGAAAGGCACAGCATCGGGTTTGAGCTTAATACAATATGGCTGTCGAACCTGCCCTAGGCCGCTACATAATTTAAGGTATCTTGACTTCAGGTTTTCCATGTCAATAGTGTACACATGAACCAACAGACCAAGAGCTACAATAGCTGGCAGTCCCAGCAAAGGCATACTCAGGTTTTTGACCACATACACCTTCTCTGTAATTTGTTTTGCTCCTTTCTTTAGCTGTAGTTTGGCAAACCCCATCACTTCCAATGGAATTCTCCCTGGACCCAGTAGAGGTCTCTCTGCTTTTTGCAGCACCGGCACCTGTGTGTAGTGAAAAATGTTGGCGAAATTTTTCTGTGAAACAACAGTGACATCTGCTCCGGTATCCAACTTGAACGTGATGTTTTTATCCATCATTCTGATTTCCACAGTCCATGGATCAGCATGTAATGTCACAGAGCCGAGAAAGAAGCTTCTTTCCTCTTCCTCAATGCCATGCACAGCCTTGCTTGTAAAACATACATGTTGATAGTGACCCTTTTCCCCACATGTATGGCATTTAGCATCCTTAGCAGGACATTCCTGTCTAGGGTGAAGCATGCCACCGCATTTGTGACACTGGGGGTCTTTAGTGTTTTTGTTCTGCCTGCTTTGAGGCTTTGCTCCATCATTCTTTGATCTGCTGAATTTTTGCTTTTCTTTCTGATGCCTGCCTTTAAACAGTCTGTCCAAAGAGTTCACGTCCTTTAGGTTTACAGCACTAGCATCACTTCTCAATGTGGTTTGCTGTTTTTTAATTTCCTCTGATTGTCTTGCCATATTAATAGCTTTATCCAGGTCTAGGTCTTTTTCCATTTGCATGCATTCTGATAGCCGTGTATCAACCAAGCCTACTACAATCCTGTCTCTGATGAGCTCGTCATGTAGTGCTCCATAGTTACAGTGTTCTGCTAATGCGTACTGCGCTGTAACAAATGCATCAACTGTCTCATTTGCTTCTTGTTTGCGCATATTAAATCTTGCACGCTCATACACAATGTTCTTTTTTACTACAAAGAATGACTGAAAGCCGTCTCTTACTTTAGTATACTGACGCTGATCAGCTTCACTGAGTTTCAGGCCACGCAGAACATCATCTGCTTCGTCTCCCATACAGTAAATCAAAGTGTTCACCTGATTTTCTTTGGAGCTTATTGTGAGGTTGCTTGTTTGCCTAAATCTCTCAAATTGCCATATCCATTTTGTCCACTCATTTGGTTTGGAAAAATCAAAGGGCTCCGGTGGTTGGATGTTAAAAGTAGCTCTGGGTGTACTAGCCATACTGCTAACTCCTTCCTCATTCTGCTCATCCCCACTGCCGCTCATTTTCCTCTTTTGGGTAGACCTCGTTGTTCAGTTACCGTGTTACAGAACTTCTGACACTATGTCGTATTTTGTAATAATACTCCTAACACGTGAGTTCTCTGCACACAAACTGCTTTTATTTTTCTTAACTCCTCCCTTCCGGTTCCTTCATACTGTGTCACCTCAAAATATGTCCTTCACTACTCTCTGTCTAACATTGGTTCCTCTTCACAGTTAAACATCAACAGGTTCCATTTACCCTACACCACACTCCGTATAGGGAGGGCAGGAAGAGATTAACCCATCTTTCACATTTGACCTCTACCTGCTTCAAGTTGAAAGTAGTGTTTGATGCAGAGATGGTATTCAGCAGGTTCTGACCAGTTCTGGAGAACCGGTAGTGGAAATTTTGAATAGTTTGGAGAACCGGCAAATACCACCTCTGACTGGACCCACCCCAATCTATTCTCTGCCTCCTGAGTCCCAGCTGATCGCCTGGGTCTTCTTTTGTTGCCCTGCACAGGAGAATGGAGAACGGAGCTGGAAAACAGGTTAGTGGGGTGGGGAAGGAATGGGATTTTGCAGTAACCTTCCCCTAGAATGGGGAGGGAATGGGATTTTGCATTATCCTTCCCCTGCCATACCTACAAAGCCACACCCACACAGCCATGCCCACAGAACTGATAGTAATTTTTTTTGGAATCCCACCACTTTCCTTTCCTTTCCTTTCCTTTCCTTTCCTTTCCTTTCCTTTCCTTTCCTTTCCTTTCCTTTTCCCTTCCCCTTCCCCTTCCCCTTCGCTTTCCCCTTCCCTTTTCCTTTCCTCCCCTCCCCTCCCTCTCCTCTCCTTTCTTTTCTCCTTCGTTTCCCCTTCCCTCCCCTCTCCTCCCCTCCCCTTCCCCCCTTGTCCCTTGTCCTTTGCCTCTTACACTAATATTTTAAAATACAAAAGATGTGTTAAAAACCACAACAAAAAAAACTCCATCTAAATAAAAAGCACCAAATAAAAAGATACATTCTATGCCCTCTTCTAAACCATAGCAATTAGGGAGTCAGCAAAGTGCACACTGTTCTATAATTTGGGCTCTATACAGAAAAAGCCAAATTACCTGTGGTGCATAGCAAAATCTGCAAAAATCTGCATCTACTGAAGATGTAAAAGCACAAAAGAAGACTATGCAGAAATAGGCAGTCCTGCAAATCATTTGCTCCTCTGATTTGTGGATACGAATATCAAAATGTAATAAAAAATAAAATAAAATAGGCCTCTTAGCTTGATTAGTAGACTTTGGCACTGATTTGCCAAAGACCACCCACTGTCTGAAGAGCCACTGTTAATTTTATTTCTAGCAAGAACTAGCAAATAAATGTTGCATGGATATGGATACAGGATAAATAAAAGATGGTAGGAAATAATAGAAGTACAATTTCACCTCTTAGCCTATAATAAGCTTGGTGGCTTGCTAAAATTTGCTTCACTGATTCTTGAGGGCAGACTTTCACTCCAGTTGAGATAAAAGAGGATCTCTTGGTTCGATGCTTCGCCATATCAAATATCCTCCGAATAGTTGATACTTTAGACCTCTTTGCCAAGTTTTCTGACTTTTCAGATCCTGAATCCTCTGTCAGATGTTTGGCATCATTGTGATTAATTTCATTAGGGGTTTCTGTAAGAGAAAAATCACAAAAACACGTCAATAAAATACAATGCAGAATTATTGTCTGTCAATAAGATATATTGTAATAACAATAGCTTAACAATAATAAAGGAAGACACAGTTGCTGGTCATGTGGTGATAGACTGGAAGAGGTTAATATCAAAAGAGGAATCTTTCAAGGAGACTCACATTCACCACTATTATTGTTATTGCATGGATTCGTCAGTCAACAATGCTGAATAACTCACTATAGACCATAGCTATCAAACAACATGGGTTTCCCACCAATTGGATTTTTCCATGTATTTTTTCCTGGAAAGGTAGAAAAGGTGGACTGAAAAGGTCAGCACTCTCCTAAGCTTACCTATGAACTCTGGATTCATTGGCGATATCAATTTTCATTTACTAGTTCATGGGGACATAACCCTACCTTTACAGGACACTTTAATTTATTTTCCTTATGCTAAGACTAGGAATACTGAAAGTTTTATATTTCACTGAATTGAAAAAAGCTTTCCACTTTCGTAAAGATAATAAAAGAACAGTTAAGTACTTACGTTGTAAATGTTATTCATTCAAGTTTAACAGAATTATAATATTGATTTTAAATTTCAAGGTTCCTCAGAAATAATATGCCTTTCTCTTCTGACATCTATCTATCTATCTATCTATCTATCTATCTATCTATCTATCTATCTATCTATCTATCATCTATCTATCTATCTATCTATCTATCTATCTATCTATCCATCTATCTAATCTCTCTTCTATCTATCTATCTATCTATCTATCTATCTATCTATCTATCTATCTATCTATCTATCTATCTATCTATCTATCTATCTATCTAATCTCTCTCCCATCTATCTATCTATCTATCTATCTATCTATCTATCTATCTATCTATCTATCTATCTATCTATCTATCTATCTATCTATCTATCTATCTATCTGTCATCTCTTCATATATGCTAATTTCACAGTTTACCAGGATTAAAAGGAAAAAGAAATGGCGAAATGTATTTGTAAAGCTTTCTAAAGGACAAATAATAATTCTAAGAAACCAACAGTATGTGTACAATTTGATTGCTGATATCTGACTATAGATGACAACAATATTGGGGAAAAATAGGTTCAAGGGAAAAGAAATCAAGTACAGTGTATAAGGGAATTAGAATATCAGGAAAATCAAGAACTAAATATTGTTGAGCTTTTCAAACTTACATCAGTGTTTTTTTCTTCTATAAAATTAAGCTTCTAGCCACGCCATAAACACTAATTATTGTGTCACTTTGTATTAGACAGATTAAAAGAAAATAAAAAGGGAAAGATGCTTCATCTTGACAATCTGGAAATAACTGAATTGAACTTTAGCCAACAAAGAAAAAGGAAAGAAAAGGCACGTTCAGCAATATATTAAAAGTTGTCTTTCAAAATGAGATAATTCATCACCTTAGTTTCTGTACCCCATCCTAAATTTATTACAAGCCTCAAGCAATGTGAAAAAAATTATGTAAGGGACATTTGCATGTGTCATTTAGGCTCTCTTGTCCTGTACTCATAGCAGCTTAATTTCAAATCAGTTTAAGAAAAACAAGTCTGGACTGAAAGATTTTGACAACAGTTGCAAGATATTCAGTCCTGACTGCAGGTAACTCAACCCCCCCTCCCCGTCTGAATCTATCTATCATCTGTTTATCTATCTATCTATCTATCTATCTATCTATCTATCTATCTATCTATCTATCTATC